GCATGCCTTAGCGGTTAGACCATTGACCACGCGTCCTCGAGAGGACGGAGCATTGTTCCCACAGGACCGATCACCGATGGCCAATCGTTCCTTCCTACTTTGCCAAAGGTGGCTCAAAAATGTCTTCCCTAGTCTGTCTATCCTACCGATGTCACTTCCCGCCTTTTCAAACCACTTCCTACTCCCCAGTACCGCTACCGTCCTCTCCTCTCTATTCCATGCCTCAAACATCTCCCTGTATGTCCCTTGTATTCTTCCCAGCTCAGTCATGTACACTTCCCTCTCCTTTTCGTACCACGGACATTCCGCGACTACATGAACACTGTCTTCGCATTCGAAGCCGCAATCACATTTGAACTTGTCGTCTTCGTCGTCTACCGTCCTATGTCTTCGTCGACGTTCGCGAAGGCCTATGTCCCCGGTCCTGAATTTGACCTTAAGCTTTGTCCCTGCATCCATTGGTCCATGTAGGTGAAATCCTTGAACCCTATTCCTTCTTTCAACATTCCGTACACTTCTAGACCCTCCTTATCCTTGGATTCTTTCCTTAGATTCTGTTCTTCTCTGTCGGCACAAGCAACAGATATCTTCTTCTTGAACCCCTGTAGACCCTCCGTTTCCAGCGTTTCATCTTCGTTGATGTCCAATCCCTTCCATACGTCCTCTACAACCTTGACCCATTCCGTGGGTTGTCTACCCCTCTTTTTGTTTGCCCACTTCGCCTCCCATACTATTCTCGGCAACCTCTCCTCTCCCATCCCGCACATGCGGTACTGCCATGTCAGCTTCCTTACGTCTCTTCCCGACCGTAGGGATTGGATCCCCAATTCTGCCCTGACTGCTGCATTACTTGTGCGCTTGGAGCATCCTAGGATGATTTTCGCTGCTTTCATCTGCGCCGCCTCGAGTTCTTTCACTACCTTCTTATTTCCTTCCCATACTTCTCCGGCGTACTCCAGCGGCGGTACGATTACGCTCTTCAAAACCGTCAATTTGATGCGTGTATCAAGGTGCCGGTTTGCGAGTATTGGGTGAAGCTTCCCTGCTCGTGCTTTGCCCTTTTCCGCTACCTTGGACATGTGTGCATTCCACGAGCAATCTTTTGCGATCTCTACTCCGAGGTATGTGTACTGGTCGACTACTGCAATCTCCTCGATCCCCCACTTCCATCTATGTTCTACTGGTTCCTCCCTGCCCTCGTTGCATACCATGACGGCACTCTTCGTAACGTTGGCAGACAATCTCCACTTATCAGTAAACTTCTTCGCCGCGTCAATTTGCAGTTGCAGTCCCTCAGGGGTGTCCGACATACCAACAAAGTCATCCGCAAACAGCATTCCTGACACCGAAGTTTCCGTGTCCCCTACTTTTACTCCCTTCCGGACTGCCTCTACGACTTCCAACAGATCGTTGATGAACACCTGGAACAATGTTGGGGACAGCGTGCAGGGGGGGTGGAAGAAAAAGGGTGGGTGGGTTAGGGTGCACGCTGTTTGCGGCTTGACGGGGATGGAACGGATACATGCGCGTACCAAGGGGCTTCCCGGCCGGAGTGCTCGCGCTCACCGCCCACTCCGCCTAATGTCCACACTGGCATTAATGCACAAGCGGAAGCGAATGAAGAATGATGCAGATTCGATGCCTGTGAGCTACAGGGCAATATATGTGTGCAGACTTGAGTGAGACGATAACGCTTTAACATCTTGTTGAGCCACGGGTTGGCGCGCACGCACACAATTTCGCGCGTCGTCATTCGTACGGGACACACGCTATGAGAGGCCATCAAACAAAAGCAGCATGCACAGCGGCAGCAACATACAGCCCAGCTGCTGCCTCCACCCACGTACAACACATACGAGCGCACGTGCCCGCCGTGTGGCGGCTCTGTCTCTCTCATCGTAGTATCACAAATATACCATGGTTTTGCACCCACAATCATTTCCTTCACCATGTGGGTGGCATGCGTATGGCACATCATCATCATGCACACGAGAATAACGCGGTGTCCATATGCGTCCGTCACTCAAATCTTGCAGCGAGAAAAGTCTCCAAAGAATTGAAAACCGCGAAAATTCGTCATTATTGCTAGCGTGGGACGAGCTTTCAAAGAGACGGGCCTTTTGTATTATCGGCGAGTAGTCCCTAAAACCAAACTTCGTGGCCATCGCTGTCGATGTCGATGTGGGTCGCGCTCCGTGTGTGTGATGCTCACCGACAAGCGTGTGTGCCATGCACATGCAACGAGAGAGCAGGCCTGAACACACGAAACCTCACACCATCGCAAATTTCGTCCCATGGATCTGTAGAAAAAAGTGCACTGGTCGGATTTTATCATTGGATTTTTCCTTGCGCGCAATGTAGCGTTCACGAACGGACTGGTCGGCTATCGCAGGCTTTAAGACTCGGAGCGCTCCCGTTGGTCAAGCCTTGCACCGATGCGACGAAGCGTTTGTAGATCTCGTTGACCCGTAAACGGCGACGTAGGAAGTGTGTCGAGAGAGTTGAGAGGGGCCCGAGGGCCCGACAAAGGCTCGAAAACGACGTTCTCTAGCGCTACGAGCGGCCCCGATGCGGCGGATGCTAATCGCGCAAGGGCCTCCTCGCAGAACAATCATCATCCGTCCCGTCTCGCGTGTGCAAACAACTTCCAAGTTCGGAGGAGCATGTTTTAATTTGGTGGAACCGTATTTTGTTTGTGCGATACGTGTACCATGCAGTGTACGTCGAAGTGCCGCTTCGCTTTCGAGCCTTGCCCGGCTGTGGGGTGGCCACCTCGTGTGGAACTGGCGTTGGGTCTCCACCCGTGTGCAACTCCATCACTGTCAATACCTTGTTATCTTGGGAGATACAACAGCAGTTGTCGGCAAACTTCAACCCTTCCACGGTCGTCAAACCTGATTACCGCCACAAACAAGGGACCGCGGCTGTTGTTGGTGTGTAAATGTTTTTTAACTTCTCGTGTGCAAGCCCGCGGGCGGCACTGGCATGGGTAACATGGCACGTGCTACTGAAGTGTTGGCGGCAACCACTACACCCGCGACGACTACATCACTTCGCCCGCGTCAACCAGAAGAACATTGGTTGTCTTCGATTTGGAATAAACGTGTCTAGACGGGCTGCAGCCTGCCATGCGTCATGTTCTGCCAACGCGATGCTCTGTGCTTTTGTATCTTCGTGGGGGCACGAAGCACACACAACGGGGCGAGAGAGAGAGAGAGAGAGAGAGAGCCCTACAGTCGCAAGACCCCCGCCCCCGATGCAACACGCGCTCGTGTGCGCTTCAACGACAACAACTTGAAGCGCCTTCGTATTTGGTGGTCGAAATCCCGGGCCGCGGTGGGCGTTCGGGCGCAAGCCGCGCCACCTGCCTAGACCCGGCAGCGGCAACGCGGAAATAGGTTTGGCGCGCCCGCTCGCACCAGCCTGCTCCTGGAGCGAATCAGAGATGCAAAAGTTTCTGCTGTGTGCAACCCGAGAGCCGCCATCGGAGGCGCGGCGGCGCGGAGGCCGGAAATTTTCGACGATACAAGTAGTCATGCCGCAAAATGTATGCGTTGAGTGCAACGTGCCATGCCGCCGGATGTGCCATACAGACGGACATGTCTGTAGCTGCAGCTGCGACGGGCTTGCCGCATCTGCTGTAGATTTTCGTTGCTGCACCACTTCCGTCGTGCGGCCGGAAAACATGGGCTGCAGAGAGCAACAAAACCCGCGACCAACCAGCGCTGTCCTGGAGTGGTGTTTAGGCTGTGCATGTTGTTGCTGTGTAGGTGTGAGATCCCACAGCGGCACGCCTGGTTGCTCGAGCTACCCACACAAGCCGTGAGCAGCACGGTGCTCGCCGCAGCTCACTGCAGCTCACCGCAGCTCAACACACGGTGATGCATGTCTTTCTTGGTTGACTCTCCCCTGCTGTCCTGACATGCCAAGCACGCCGGAACAAACCACAGCGCAAAAAGAGGTGCACTTGATGTTTCAACTCAAAATGTACACACGTGCACGCTGGCCTGCAAGAACATCATACCTTGTTTCGCCCGAGGAAAACCCCAGCGCTCCTGTCACATAGTTCTTCGCGCCTCGAAGCACGTTCATCCTGCCCACGGACGCCTCTCCCGCTCGCCCGTGGCGGTGGTGTGTGTGTGTGTGTCGCGCGATGCACCGTCTGGCCTACACAAGCCCGTGAGACTCACGGTTGATTCACGGAGCCCCGTGATATCAATCGGAGCCCCCAGAACTGACCCTTGCGGTGCCATGTTGCTTCCTGTGCAGCGGCTTCTCACTACATCGCACACACATCATCGTCAGCATGAAGCGCGGACTTCGAACCGCCCTACGCGGCTCGTCGCCCTCGACTCGGGGACATCGACCACCACCCCCGCTCATCCCCGGTGCGACCGCTGCCGGCAGCAACGGCGCCACGTCGTCGGTTGGCTCTCATCATCCGCGGCGTCTTGTTGTCGGAGGTCAGCTCTCGCAGCAGCAGCAGCTCTCCTCCTTTCAACGGCAACAACAGCTTGGATGCGTGTCGTCGCTCTCGTTGAGTGAAGGCGACGCTGGGGGGGTTCGAGAGTCCCATCTCGCCCAGGCCAAGCTGCAGGCTCTTGCGGGGCAAGGCAGCGTGGCAGCAAGAGGAAGACGGGGAAGCGGTCGCGGGTTTGCACCTCCTCCCCAGGGAGCAGCGGCAGCGGCGGCGGCGGCGGCGGCAGCCGCGGTAGCCGCGGTAGCAATAGCGGCCGGTAGTGGAGGGAAGAAGGCGGATTGCGAGTACCCGGAAGGGACGAGGTTTGGAGACGTCTACTACTGCTCAGGGAAAGCTTTGGGGAGCGGTGAGTTGTCGGTGTGTAGCATGAGGTGACCAATAATCGCGATCTACCAATGCCGATACGTACCACACAGCAACGCCGATACGTACGCATACATACGCCCTCGTTTCGTGGGGTGTTCCAGAACACCGAATCCCCAAAACGTGGCCGACGAGGTGGTACCTCTGTGGCCCCGTTACCCCCGAAGGGCTGTTCCCACTGTTGTTTCTGCCGGAGGTCTGTTGAATCTACGATTCGACTCCAATTTTACCAAGTCGTGAATGTTTACTGCTGCGGTGCATACCCGGTCAAGGTGAGCGTTTTTTGCCCGCCGCCTGGCCAAGGCTCGCTTAGAATTGGAATGCCCTCACGACCACTGCGGCAAGTAAATGGACATTTACAGGGATGCGTGGTTTGCACATGTCTATGTCTTCGATCCGAAAGGTTTCACGCTTCACAACGGTATTATGCTTCAAGTAGCATGTTGTTCGCGTGTTCAGCGAACTGCGAACTGTGAATCCGCCGAGCTTGAACCCGCCGCATATCAAGAGGAAGGCCAACGCTTCGGGCTTCAACAGCAATTGTAGATGACGCACGGCACCCAGCTTTGTACATAGAACAAAGCACTCGCGCTTTTGTCTATCCATGTAGCACCCAGCGTGGCACCCAGATTTTGAACAAAGCACTGGTACTATCTATCTTTCATGTAGCACCCAGCGTTCTTACAGCTCTACTCAGGAAGTACCATCCATACAGCAGCAGGCCTGCAGTACGTAACCATCCCCTGTCGTGTTGGTACTCGGCATGTTTGACGGGGCACCTCAAACGACAAGTTGTTCCTCGCTTGGAATGTTCTCTTCATCTGAACGACCACACCACTGCAATGGTGCCGTGCGGCCAATTTAGCCCCCGAGAGCCTGGTCCGGTGAGAACCCGGCGTGCTTTGTAGGGATGCGAGGTCCATGGTCTAACGATTACAGTACGGCATGCACGA